AAGAGACAATTCTAATTGTGTAAGTTTTTTATTTTAATACTTCTGACTGGAACAACAGGAAAAAGTGTCATATGTAAAAAATGCTTCGCTTTACTTTGTGGATGTAAAAAATTTTTTATTTCAGCTTGCATGGATATTGAAATGCCTGTCCCCTCACCACTCCTTTGTCCCCAGGACTTGTCTGTTCGATGTGTCACGGCCTCGTGCTCAGTTATGGACCAGACTCTGAACCACCTCTCCTACAATGCACCACGATGTCTTAACAGCTCAGCTCTAAATGGCACATAAAAAGCAGTTTAACTAGGAATCCCAGTTTACAGAGGAGAATGACGACACCCAAGCACTTGGGATTTTGATCAACATCTGCAAGAAGTGGACTTACTTTTTCAGAAGCAAACAGAAAAATTCTGTTTTCCTCAAATGCCTGATTTTCTACTGAAAAACTAGCAGCTGAAAGATTTTGATTAGCCTTCATTTAAAAGCAAGGCAGGATGAAGAAGGTAGAAATTCTATGTATAAAATAGCTAATAACCAGGCCATAAACATGCAGAGTTGCACAGGCAACTACATTAATTGCCTGCTGTATTCCAGTCAGTCCAATGGCAACAGCTTTACTGGGAAATAAGCATTCTTCAGAAAAACAGCAGTGCTTTTCCCAAGGTGACTCCTGCTGTATCCGAGTGGCACGCTGCATGAATTTCCACACAATTTTTATTTCTTGCACCTTTCCTTGGGTTTGATCCTTTGCCATCCTGAAACCAGTGGGATGTTTCCAGTGGTGACCTGACCTGCCAGATCTGGTGGGACCAGGGTGTGGGATCTTGACTTACGTGAAAGTTATTTAGATCTGGTAAGAGGAGTTGCCACGTCTCCCTCCACCTGCACTCCCCTCCAGCTAGATGTTTCCATCCAGGCAGGTGGGAATTCAGCTTACGTTGGATGAGCTATGGTTTTTCTGACTGTAAAGTACATTTTTTTGTTATGGGGGCAGGGCTTTACACTCTACCATGTTTCAACCCAGAAGGGATTTCTGCCAGTCCAAACCCATGACACCAACCAACCACACTTTCTGCTGACAGACACTGGCATCCTACAGCTCAGTAGCACTGGGCTCCTGCACCACCAGACAGCAGGATATCATCATCTTGTTTTACAGCTGAAGCCAGCCATGGTTTTCATCCTGCAAACTACTGCTTTTGGTCATGGTGACCCCTGCGTGTGGTTTGGTTTTTTTGTCGGGGGTGTTTTGGTTTGTTTTTTTTTTGTTCTAAACAACAGTACATACTCCTGGAGGAGCCCATAAAATGTCTTACTGCTGCAGTCATTGAGAAGGATACACTGAACCGAACCAGGCTGTAATTTGCAAAGACACCTGCATAGTGTCTCCTGGCTTAGTCAAGATTATACTAT